CCCTCAGCCACTTGTCTCAGTTTTCATTTCTATAGAATGAAGATAATACCTATGCTTCCAGGATATCAAGAATGTTAAATAAAATTATATCCAAATATTGGGAACATGCTATAACTAAGTGTTTAGAACCTTAAAAACCAAAACACAACAAGGGAAAAACAACGATCCTGCTCTCCTAATCCTACACTCCTATCTTCTATGCCATTCATTTCTTAGGTCCCCTTGGGAGTCAAAATACTCATAACAAAAATGAACAAAAACTTGTTTTCATATCTTGACTCCACTTCTTTACCCCACCACATTCATTTTTCAAACAATTCTCTCAGTTCAGCCATTACATTTCCATTGAACCATTATTAGGGTCACTATAAAATGACAATTTCTATCTTGTGAAGTCAGTGGATGGCTCACCACCACCAGGAACACACCTTTCCTGGCACTGCACTTCCCCTCCGGTCCAGTTTAAGAACCCATTGTGGCCCTTGAGTCAAAAAGTTTGCCCACCCCTGTGCTAGGTCCTTGGCCTTTTCTTCTTCCTTACAATGGCATTCATCTTTATGGCTTTAAACACCATCTCCTTTCTGACAACTCCCATTAGTGCAATGGCCTTAAGGAGGGCGCATGCCCCTCATGATTGCGCAGGGGAATTGAGGAAAGTCACAGGGGGATGGAGTGAGGTTGGTGTCTGGTCATGTTGGGCCTTAATGATCATGGTTAGGGATACTGACTTTTAATCTGGGACTAGGAGTGACTGGAAAACTTTGAAAAGAGGACACACTTTAATGTTTTAATTCAATACTTTTGCCGGTGTGTTGAGAATAGTCCAGGCAAAACATGATAAGAATTCAGCTCAGGGTGTTAGCAGTGGAGACTGCAGATTAAAATTTTCCTTAAAAGCGGCACTTACAAAACTAGTTGAAACCAACTGAGAAGTCTTAAAATAGGTTGCTACTATGCATATCATTAACTATAACAGTATGTCCTATACCATACTCCAAACAAATACGTCAAAGTAAAAAATTCCCATTGGTATTAAGATGTCTTTGGTAAACAAGTTATGGAAAAACCTAAATATCCAACAAATAGGAAATATTTAATGTGGTTGAACAGGATATTAACATTAAAAATAACTATACGGACTATGCCAGTATGGGAAAAGAAACAAAAAATAATTTAGTGAACATGCAGAAAACAAGTGTACATTAAATACATTTTGTTTACTTATGTAAAAATTATTTCCACAATGAAAGGCCTCAAATTGAAGGTATGAAGAAGTACAAGTTGGGTTGCAGGCTTGATCCCTGGCCTTGGTCAAATATGCAGGAGGCAACCAATCGATGTGTCTCTCTTACATCGATGTGTCTCTTTCTCTCTCTCTCCCCTTCCCTTCCACTCTCTCTCTCAAAATCAATGGGAAAATATCCTCGGGTGAGGATTAAAACAACAATAACAACAACAACAAAAGTATAAATTGGCAATTACAAAACAGTCATGGGGATAAAAGGTACAGCATATGGAATATAGTCAATAATATTGTAATAATTATGTATGGTGTCAGATGGGTGCAAGCTTATTGAGATGATCACTTTATAAGTTATATAAACATCTAGCCACTATGCTGTACACCTGAAACTAATATAATACTGAATGTCAACTGTAGTTGAAAAATAAAATTAAAAAAACAAACGTATAAACAAAAGCCTTCAAACAGCCATGGTCTTGTAAAATAGGTGTTTCTAACTAAAAGTACTTTCTGGTTATTTTTAACTTAGAATTTAAAGTTCATTATACAATTTCTATAAAGTACATATCTTAGTTAAGTATTTACCTTGGGTTCTTCCAGCTTGTAGTACTTTACTGATGTCATAATAAGAATATGACATCAAAAAATATACAAGGGACTTTTTGCAAAACCTTTGTTGGTTAAGAGTTAATTTCTAAAGTAAAAACAAACAACAAAGTTAAACTAGAATCTTTTAATTCAGGAAGCTAATTAAATGCTAATAAAAGTCAATACATGGTTTTCAAGGTAGTTTATATGATCAAGTCCAACATCTGAACAGATCAGATTTAAGGAATAGAATTCCCTTACTTTCAAGGAATTGATAAATACTTGCAGAACAAAACGGTGCTCTTTTACGCAGCTACCTTACTACATCCTAACTATGTTCTCGACCAGGTCTTACCCTCCACCTGTGTCATGCTTTGAAAAACTATTCACAAGGAAACAGACTTATATCCTAAAACTGGGCTCATTTACGTGATATGGTTTTCAGGATATCAAGTCTGGGGCATTCAGGGTAAAAATGGGCAACCTGAGATGGGCAGGAAGGTAGAAGAAAGGGCAGTCCCCTTACCTGCAGTTTCTGCAATTCCCACACGCAAAGGGGAACCGCGACCATTATGATCACCAGGTAGATGACCGCCACTAAGGGTCGAATCCATTGTCTCCAGTTCGTCCAGGTACAAGTGCAAGGCATGTCTCCGCATAAATCAGCTCCGAGTAGCAAGGAAAAAGGGCTCGAAGGAGGTTTTGATGGGGAGCCCTGTTCTTTGGCTGTTTTCTCAACTCGCATACTACAGAGAAACTGCTGTTGGGCGCCTTTACCAGCAGCTGGAGCCGCCTCCTCGGCCTGCGCTGTGCTTTCTGCTGCAGCTGCGGCAACGGCGGCCGCTCTGGGTGCTCCCGGGGAGCTGGCCGGGCTGCATTCTTTCCTCCCCGCTCCGCATCTACCCAGTGCCTCCGCGGCGGGAACCCCGGGCGGAGACGCAGCCCTCACCTGGGGATCGCCCAGAGCTCCGCCAGCACCATGGCCTGGAGGGCTGCGCCGAACCGGACCGGCTTCTAAGGGTCCTGCACACAGCTTGCTTCTGCCTCGTAGCTGCCGACCCACTCGCTTTCCCTTCGGGCGGCCAAGCTTCCTACCTCCTGGGCTCGCAGGGCTCTCTGCGCCCTTTTCTTCCGATAAACAGAAGGGCGGAATCAAACTCTCCAGCCCCACGATTGCCGCACCTGCGCAAAGGGGCCACCCTGCCCAAGCGGAACCCTGGGCCAAACCATGGCTTCAGCCCCAGAGGTCTGAGGTCGGTGATTGGTCGAAAGTGCCAAGCTGCGCCCGCCTTATCCGGTTCGCTTTGCACGCTCCGATTGGCCATTTGCTGCGGGAGGCGGGGCTGTAGGGAGGCGTGTCAAGGTCAGAGACTTGGAAGCAGGGAAAGGGGTGGAAGTTGCTAGAATTGACTGAGATCACTTGAGGAACAGCTGCTCCGTTCTTCCGCCGGCTGTATTCCGGCTTTCAGAAAGCCTGGGTAAGAGGCAGTCGTTCCCTTAGGCCCGAACCTTCTTCTGCACAAAAGAGTTCGGATTCTCGGTGGGAGAGGATGGGGGAGCCCCCTGCAAAAGTCAGAGACAAAGAATGGGAAACGTCTGCCTCGTTTTCCGTCAGTGGCAACATAGGGGTTGGGCCGCTCAGGCGTTTGGGGACCCCGCAGAAAGGCCCTTCTAAAGATAGCTTGCTTTTGGGAGCCCTGCAAATACTGAATATCCTTTCTGCATTGGGAACCTGTGTTCAAAGCTCACACCCGTTTAAGTTTCAAAAGGTTGGCATTCCAGACTGACACATTTTATGTTCTTCGGGCTTTCTCGATTCGTTTAGAAAGGCCTGTAAGAGCCCATTTACCATTTGCTTGCTCACAAACGCGTCCCCTGTTATAACTGTCATTTTCTGAGGGGCAAGCACTGTACTAAGTTCGTTTTTTTCTACCAGTTAATCTGCACAAACATTCCAAAAGGTGGGCAGTTTTCCGCGTTACAAATGGGAATACAGATTCGAGTGGCTGGATACTTTGCCTGAGCTCTCCGAGCTAGTGAGTGTTGGAGCTGGGGGTTTAACATGGACGGGTCAGAGAGCACCTGCCAGCTGAGAATTTTGAACAAGAAGCTCTCCTGTAGTTCCCACAGGCAGTGAGGGAATGCTAACTTCCCTGGTATCATTCGTGCTGGCCAACATTTGTTGCTTGGTTCCTGCGTTCCTCTTCTAGATCTAACATCTGCATATTACAATCCGGTGTATGGTAATACAAACTGTTTGAGAAATAGGCCTTTTGTTTGTTCTTCCTAAGCTAACCTCTACGAAATTGGAATTGTATTTTTGAAAATTTCCTGATCTTCACATTAAGGCACACCCCCCTGTTAAATTGCAGAAAATATAAGAATAAAGAATAGAAAAGTAACCTTTATAACTAAGTATAACGACTATTTACTTTTTTGATACACAATATTGTCTTCCTTGCATATACTGCACATGTGGACTGTCTCTGTGCTTTCAGCCATGGTCATTGCCACCTATATTCTTTCTCAGAGGTAAACTTTTTTTGCCAAATTTGTGAAATCTTCCTTGATTCCTCTCCCCCATATCCTATAGCACTCTTAAAAAATAAATAAATAAATAAATAAATAAATAAATAAATAATATAGTATTGATTTCAGAGTTTCATGTGTTTACAACTGTAAACCTACTTTTGCCAACCCCTACGTATACTTGGAAACTTTAGTTGGGGCTACAAGTTTTGTGTGGCTATCAGCTGCTGAGCCTAAGAAGGTATTGTTTCATGGTACAATGAGCTGGAGTTGTCATCCTGGTACATATTTCATTGAGAACAACTCCAGGGCGAGGCAAATTTCGGAAGCGAGAAGGAGGAGAGATAAAAACATCAATGATGAGAGAGAATCATTGATTGGCTGCCTCCTGTGTGCCCCACATGCCCTCCACTGGGGTCAAGCCCAAAACCTGGGCATATGTCCTGACCAGGAATCAACGGTGACCTCCTGGTTGCTAGGTGGTCGCTCAACCACTGAGCTACCATAGCTGGGCTATAGCACTCTTTTCTGACCAGTCAAATGTTGTGATTTTTTTTTTTACTTATTTATCTGTCTTTTTAGAATGAATTCCTATGAGCAAGCTACAGTTCTAGAACTGTTAGAATAAAGCAAGAGAGGAATGAGCCAGAATGCCAGATGTACAAGTTGTTCCCATACCAGTTTGTGAACTAGGGTTCATCTATGATGAAGTTTCTGCAGATCAACAGAGAAATGAGAAAAATATATACAGTGAGTTTTTTATTCAGTCAAACTTATTCACTCTTAAGGAGTGTGCTTAATCTGAAATTGTCCATTCCATTTCTTTTCTATGATGAAAATTATACAGTAGTTATTTTCTAAATGTCTTACTTTGGAGAATAAAAAGTTGGTAACTTTATTTGTTCATATTTGTTTTATTATTTCTGAAATTTTTCTTGGCCTATGAAATCCTAAAGTCTAGTAATCACTGAGGTAGGGTATAGCCACTAAATTCAGCAATCACAATGCTTACATGATCCTGATCTGCTCTACTTGTTATAGGTGGTCTCTATTCTTTCTGGATATGACAACCTAAGCCTGAGGGTGGATCTGAGCTTGATAGTGTTTTGAAAATAAGAAACAGTTGTAACTGGCAGATGGTACTGGGGTCGAAAGCAAGCTATTAGACATTCCTGATGCAATTTATGTAGATAAAATGAAGTTTATATTGATTTGTCATTGTATCACATAAAAATAGGTAGATGGAATTTTGCCATCCATAGAAGATATGTTTCGATTAGTCTGACTTAAAATGAGAAGTTAGTGAAATTCACTTGGAGGGTTCCTGGGAGATGGGCATTGTTAACCCTTTGGCATGTCTCTCCATATCTCTGTATAAGTATGTTTGTGGTGGTTTTAAAATACCCACAAAAAGATAGACTCTTCCCTTAAATCTGTGTGGGCTTCTGACGGATTTGACCAGGAGAATATAGTGAAAGTGATCTGAGCCACTACATGTGACTTAAGAGGCTAGGTCATAAAAGGCCATGAAATTTCACCTCGTCCATTGGAACTTGCCTTTGGAACTCTCAGCCATCATGTAAGGGGTCTACCTGAGGCTGGTGTGCGGTGAAAAGCCCACAACATACAGAGAGGCCCCTTGAAGGTACTCTGACAATCACAGCTGACCTCCAGTTTGCCCAGCCCCAGTGCCAGTTATGTGAGTGGAGAAGCAGATTCCAGTTCTCAGCTATTTGAATTACCCTTCAGCTTTTTGAGTCTTCCCAGCTGAGGCCCTAGACTTGTGTGAGCCATTCCTGTTCTGCCTTGTCCTGATTCATGAACCAAAGAATCCATGAACTCAAGAAAGTTAGAAGACAAGACACTAACTGGGAGAGAATATTTGCAAAAGACAAATCTGATGAAGACTGTTATTCAAAATATGCAAAGAACTCTTGCCCTGGCTCAGTTGCTCAGTGGGTTGGAACATCACCCTGTATACCAAAAAGCTTTGGGATTTAATCCCTGATCGGGGAGTGTACAGGAGGCTACCTGTTGATGTTTTACTCTCACATGGATTTTTTCTCTCTCTCCTTTCCTCTCTCTCTAAAATCAATTGAAAAAACATATCTTCCGGTGAGGATTGAAAAAAGAAAGAAAATGTATATACAAAGAATTCTTAAAACTCAACAATAGTAAGAAGACAAAAACTCAAAAAGAATGGGCCAAATACCTTAACAGATCTCACCAAGAAGACTTACAAATGTCAAATAAGCATATGAAAAGATGTTCCACATCAAGAATATGCAAATTGAAACAACTAAACATCTATTAGGATGGCCAGAATTCAAAACACTGACACCAAATGCTGGTGAGGATGTGGAGCAAAAGGAAATCTCATATATGGCTGGTGGGTATACAAAATGAATGGTACACCCTCTTTGGAAGACAGTTTGGTGGCTTCTTACAAAATAAAACACATTCTTATCATGCTGTCCAGCAGTTGCAGTCCTTACTATTTACCCAAAAGAACTGAAATCTTTTGTTCACACGAAAAGTTAACAGATATTTATAGGAACTTCATTCATAATTGCCAAAACTTGAAAGCAATGAAGATGTCCTTCTGTCGATAAATGGATTAATAAACAGTGGTACCTTTCAGACAATAGAATATGATTCAGTGCTAAAAAAGAAACAAGCTATCAAGCTATGAAGAGACCAAAAGGGACTTTAAATGCATATTATGAAGTGAAAGAAGCCAATCTGAAAAGGCTATATACTGTATAATTTCAACTATATTCTGGAAAAGGTAATTATGTATGGGGGTACTAGGTATATGGGAATTCTCTATACCTTTCAATTTTGTTGTAAACCTAAAACTGCTCTAAAAAATAAAGTCTTTAAAAAAAAGAATCCATGAGCATAATGAAATGACTTTTTTTACTTCACTGAGTTTAGAGTTATTTGTTATGCATCTTTTCCAGTGAAGAGATAACTGAAACAATGTCTTTTGTCTATTTATAAACTCTCTACCTAATCTGAAAGAGGCTCTTGTTTAGAGTGATTTTTTCTTCTTCTTTTTTTTTTTTTGCCTAAAGTTGAATTTAAGCTTAGATACGGTGTGGTTTTGTTTTGTTTTAGACTTTTAATAAGAATTTTTGAAGCTAAATTGATAACATGTTGCAGAGCAAGATCTCAAATTCTCCAGGTTTTTCTTTTTCTTTTTTTATTATTTTTTATTGATTTTTTTACAGAGAGGAAGAGAGAGAGAGAGAGTTAGAAACATCGTTGAGAGAGAAACATCATCTATTAGCTGCCTCCTGCACACGTCCTACTGGGGATGTGCCTGCAACCAAGGTACATGCCCTTGACTGGAATCGAACCTGGGACTTTTTAGTCCGCAGGCCGACGCTCTATCCACTGAGCCAAACTGGTTAGGGCAGGTTTTTCTTTTTAAGGAATACGTTGCCTTCGGAGTCTGAGTTTGTGCTAACCAATCAAAAGAAATATTAAGTGAATTTTAGATTTAATGGTGACAAATGCAGGGAAGAGTTATGAGGTCTTTATGCTTGATTTTGTAATGTGTTATTTTCTCTCCTCCTCCAAATGGGAAGGAAAATGGTCTACTATACACTAAATGAATGGGGAAGAAAATAAAAATGGTACACACTGTAATATCAAACTTTAAAATCTGAACTTTGAAACTGAGTATTTTTGCCCATTAAGTTTCAGCTT